AGGCTTGCTATTCGTCGCCGTGCTAAGGACCAGCTATGCGGCATCTGTGATTAGCTGTTTGCAGGCGTCGAGAACCGCAGTCGTGAGATTCTAGTGGAGTTCACTTCGACGCGAGATAGTCGGTACAAGAGCATGAGAAAATGCCAACGCTTGCCTTGGCTGATTGAATATCGTTTCAATTCCGGTTTTCTTCTCCCCATAATGCATTTATCAAATTGGCCCTGAATGTCTTAGAAGTAATCTTTGGTGACAAACGCACTGCTGAGACCTCGGTTAAGTTCCGTACATACCGGAAGTTAAAACCATTGTAAGATCTAACGCTTACACTATGACACAGACCGTTTCCCCTTACACGATTCTTTGTGTGTCTACTGCCTGCTATTGCGTACCACGTAGCAGCTTTCATGGGCATCCTCCGAAGGGGATTTTAAATCAAAATATTACATAAATGTTGTAATAGTTTTGTGCCACGATAGACGGTTTATGGACCAACTATATATATAGGTTCCGTCTAGAGTACCTGCATCAAAAATTGATAGTGACGGTAGTAGCACGTCAATATACTCTTTTAAGAAAAAACCTACCTCCAGTAAAACGTGTAGGAGTATGTGGGTTTAATCTGAATAGTCTGCGATGGTCAAAAGTGCCCATATATAAAGATACCGTAAACATCTAGCTTTCCTGTTAATGCTAACCTTGCCAAAAGTTTTTCGTGCAATGGTTACTGATAAGCATGGGCTTTCTACTTATTCCGCTGTAAACGAAGACGGAGATCGTCAACGTATGTCGTTGGTGGTTTAGATAGCATGTGAATAATAGAATTGGCGTTATGGTGATTTAGGTGTCTTATTCGTCCAGTCTTCACACCACAGATATGTCGAGGCAGTGGTAGATGGTTGTGATTCTATCACTGCAGGAGTCAATCGCAACATTGGGCTGGAAGTTAGATGGACTTCGAACAGATTGGTCAGGTCGAGAGCAGAAGAGCTGGAAGGAAGAGGAACAATGTAATTGGCAGTTGCTAAATCAAACGTTCTATCGCTTTTTCATCCTTTTTTCGGTCAGGGAAGAGTTAGACGGCATCTTTTTTCTGTTCGTTGGCTTAGCCCCTGAGGCTATCCAACAAAACTTGGTCCGAGTTATAAGGCAATGAAGATGCAGGTGGAAGCAAAATGTCCAACCAAGACGGTCTGGCCGCGTAACTTGCAGAGGGGTGGGTAAAGGTCCATCAAAATTGAGAGCTTTTAGAAATATTGTCCACGTTGTTTATTGATTTCACTCCGTGAGCCTCTCACATATTTGTTTTGAAAGCTTCAGATTCTGTCTCAAGAATCCGTTGATTCTCCCAAGGCCTCCAAGCGCCGACGGATTTGCAACGTTGTGAACACACCCATTCCCGTTATCCCGCGATAGAACACTTCCCGTACACTGACTACTATTGCCTTCATCTTTGTTTCATCAAATCCCCATGCTTTATATGTTTTTGATCATGCCTTGTTTATTTAGTCATCCAGTTTCGATTTATTTCATGTTATGTAGAGTTTTCATGGTCAGTAAAATTTTGCATTTTCTTCTGCGCCTTCAGTTATCCAATTTTCTTTGAAGCGGAGAAAAAAATGACGTTTGCATAAAGAGCAATATTTAGCCCAAATTTGCAGTAATGCAAACTTAGCAATTTCTACCTACATCAGTCGGAACGCACTTTTCGCAGATGTGTCGACCCATTTCGGCAAGGAATACTGTACGTAAACACTTGTATTGGAGATGCTTTTTAACCATAGATGCAAGTGGACGGAACGACTTAGGTAAACCTTGCACAGTAGTAGGTGTAAAAAGGTGAACTTATGGAAAAGGAGAGCATTGTTATGCTTAGGATTCCTAACGCAAAGCTTAGAAGCAGTCCGCATGTAGAGAGAAAAACTGAGATATGCAAGCACACCTGCTCTTGTCCTGGTGATCCCTAATCGTTTTAATTGCTCTCTCCTAGGTTATTGCTGCATTTAGAAGTGATCTATATCCATCGATTGTATAATCTGAACTACGGTCCTGCTGCCTAAAATATCGGTTTACTGAACCAATCAAGTCCGTTGTGGATTTAATATGCGTTAGTCATGCTATAAAACGACCGAAGGTGGTTGATAAGTGGCCGCAAAAGTAATTTTTATCAGCAAACCCGGCTGCTCTTGTCTTAGTTAATGCAAAACACAATACAAGTTACTGAATGTCAGAATATTTTGAAATATTGCCACGCATCACCGATAATTATGCTTGAGGAAGGGGGCTCTCCAACTGACTGCGAGTCACCTCTTAGACGCAATGCCGATGGCAATCGGGGAGCCTCGGAGGACTATCAAGAGGTCGCCTGTTAGTCCCATCTGAATCTGGGTTTGAAAAAGTTCGGAGGCGCTAATCGGGAATGTTTGGTCTTTGAACATTAAACCCAATTATCTGCTATTATTTGGCAAACTTCAGATATGGGTTTGGAATATGCTTGATTGGTGAAAGAAAAGAAAGAAGAAGGTAGCTGTTCTAGACTCTCTCTCTCGTCTTTGTAAATATTCAGCGATGCTACCCATATAAGCATTCAAGAAGTCCTGTTTGATGGAGGTGCGCTTTCGATTATGCATCATCGAGCAACTAGAATAATATAAGAGAGCATTGAGTGAGAATCAGTAGTAATTAAGGGGGAGAGGGTGTCCAGGGATCAGTAGACATATCTTGGTGTCAGAGAAGGGAAAGACGGGAAGGGATCCGACAAATATTTCATGTCGCTGTGTCATCGCTGTAAGGCCCCGTGGGAGCCAAGGGAGCCTAAGTGCCTGTATAAACGCCTTCTGCGCGCACAAATAGGGTTAGTTACCCCCCTATGACAACTGCTTCTGCCGTCACAAGTATCCGCGAACGCAGGAACTTGGAGTGTCTCGTTGGCGCCTCATAAAGGGCTTGGAAGGCTTGGATGACGTTTACTCGGTGACCGTTGTCAATATTAATATTGCCAATATTATATTTGACGCTGTGCAATAGCCTTTGACGGTTTTGAGAAAAGCGGCAAAACATAAAAACGTGAGCCCTTACGTTCGGTTCTTTCTCCCATTTTTATACACAGGAATCAATGTACTCAGCACGTGCTTCGTGTTGACGAATGTCGCTATAGGTGTTGGAATA